CGCTCCGGAAGTACTGATAAATGCTAGAGTGATAAATGCTAGAGCACTAGAAGCCAAAAAGGTCATACGTATTGTGTTTCGTCAACTGCGATAATGGACTCCCTTCGATTCCCCTCGACCCCGTCGCGTGCAGCCGCCTCGTTCCGCGGCTCGATAGAAGAGGCAGCAGACCTCTGTAAGAACCGCCGGATACCAGCCACGGCCGCCAAGGCTGCGATGCCACCTGCCGCGGCCGACGTGCCGATGATGATGTGTTTTTTTCTGTGGTCCTCCTCGCCCGACGCCGTGTCAGTCTCTCTATCGGCCTCTGTGTTGCCGGTTGGGCTGCTGGCCGGGGTGGGCGCGGTGTCAGTCTCTCTATCGGCTTCTGTGTTGCCCGTTGCGCTGCTGGCCGAGGTGGGCGCGGTAGTGGAGGTGCTGGCAGCGTTGCAGCTGACGGCGTTGACGCTCTCAATGACGCCCTGGGCGATTGACTCAGCGCTGTTATCTACGGAGAAGACGGCGAAGTCCATCTCGGAAAGGCCGAGTTGGTCGGTGTAAAAGGTCCGCCACCAGTCTGCCGAGTCGCCGGCCGCGAGGGTGACTGGGAGGAGTCGATAATTGGTGATGGCGGTGGTGAGCTGTTCGAGGGTCGGGTACCACGTGCTCGGATCACAAGACACGCTCGCCTCGGGGTTCGGGTTCTCAACAGCGCTCGGGAGCTCATCATCGGGGCTCAGCTCACCTTCTCGATCTGGTAGTCCATGGTACTTGCCCCGCTCGTCTGTGATAATCATGAAGATTCGTAGTGCCTCATCGCCGAGGCCACTGAACTGTTGTCTACCAATGAACGGGATCGCAGATAATGAGTCCTCAGGATCGTCGCCACCGCCACCGAAGGATTGCGTCTCAATGAAACTCGCGAAGGCAGAAACTTTGCTGCTGTATGTTCCGACGGTCCCGAACGTCACGCCTTGGCTGAAACACCCGCCCTTTGCCTGTGCTCCTCGGTCGCGAAACAACGAACCGCCAAAATCAAAATCGTCCAACTTATCATTCAAAGCATCCAGTAACTTCTGCACATACGTCTGCGGGTCGCCAATCAGGTTCTTGTACGAACCCGTCGCGTCGTGGTGCAGCCACAACCGTACTGGAAGCTTCAAACAGTCTTGTTCCATCGCCCAGGCCGTCAAGAACAAGCCCGTAAAACCGAGTTTCATCGCGCACGCAGTACACCCCACATCCCGCCGTCCTTGCTACCCTTATCGTCGTCGTCCCACCTGTACCCTTCTCTCACTGTGGGGTCGCCCACAAAAGTCCTATTTTACGCCCCATCTCTCTTTCACGCAAGAGACTCTTTTGCTCGGAAGTCTCTTTTGCCGATCTCCCCCATCTACTGCGTAACCCCAACGATTCCACTCGGGGATGAATCTACCCGACTCTTCTTTGTATCCCCATACTCGTTCGTAATTCGCCCGGTCCGGTTCGCATCAAATATACTCGTCTTCCTCCATTGCAATGATGGACTCTCTCTGGGCCCCTGAGCCCTCCTCGGCGGCTGCCGCCTCCTCCTCCACGTCGAGCTCAGGCGGACCGCCTCTGAACCGGTACGCGCTCCCCACCGCAGCCAAGGCTGCAACAGCTCCCGCTGCGGCAGACGCGGCAATGACAGCGTTCTTCTTCTTGTGGTCGTCAGCAGCCGTGGTAGTGGTGCCACCAGTAGTGCCACCAGTTGTGCCGCCAGTAGTACCACCAGTAGTGCCACCAGTAGTGCCACCAGTTGTGCCACCAGTTGTGCCGCCAG